TTCCTGCTCTAGGAGCTGACAAAGTCAGAGCACCTCTAAGGTAATTATTGACTCTTAGATTAAACAAAAAAGAACCCCACCAAAAAACAATCAATCAACCAACCAAGAAACCTCAAAACCACACCAATTCCTCTTCCTCCTATAACCTCTGAATATAGACTACATTTAGGAACTCCAGCTGAACCAAACTGTTATTCATTGCCTTCTTTTTGCAAGCAAAATTCATAAATTTCCATAGCAACAGAGATACAGAGAAGCCTTACAGGACAAAAAAAAGAATCCCCAGAAGATGAAAAGGAGAAGGGCACATCTATTCCTCTAGAAATGAACCATCAGTGTGGCCCCGAGTTATACAAAGTTTGGGTGCCAAGATCCATAAAAGTAGCCACTGTAGAGGACAATTCAGACTACACAGACGGAGTAATGACTGCTTTGCGCTAAGTCTATGAAATTACCAAGAATAGGCAAATGCTGTAGAAGTTCTACAACAATGCTTCAACAAAGAGTAAAAAAAGGACACGTATTTAATGACACAGACTTGAGAATCACTGTGCTCAATTAAAGGCTCCATCCAGCTGAAATACTCTGACCATGGGGAGGGGTGAAAAAAAAAGGTGGTGTTACAATACTGCGTGAAAATCAACAAGTGTGTGTTCCACTGGAACACTTGTCGGTTTCCCTCAACTCTATCCTTCAGCAGGTATGCCTGAAAAAGCATGGGTGCTAAAGTTACTGGGAGTCTTTGAAAGTCTTAGAGGTGAAGATACTAAAAAGCTTGTGAATAAGGTATATAAGACAAAAGTACACAAAATAATTTGTGGTATGGAGAAGGTAAGTCAGACATTCTCCTTTAGTCCATCTTACAACAGGAAAACAGCCTCATTTCCCTGTACAAAGGCTGTACAAAAGGGCTATGTACCCAAAATTATTCTAAGGAAACACTCTTCTTTATTCTTATTAGAACACCTAATTAACTCCCTGCCACAGAATACCACTGATGCTGACAGCCTACTGGACTCAGAACAGGTGCGGACCGTCACGTGGATAATGAGAGTCGCTGCATTAGGCAGGAAAAATAAAGTATATAAATCCTCATGCTGCAGGTTTATAAACCATAGCAGGCAAGACTTTAGGAACAAGCTTCCTCTACATACAGATTATCCCATAATTGTCTGTTACGGGATTTGTTGTAGCTGCCCCTGCACCATATGGTATTTGTCAGCATTCGAAAACGAGGAGCACCGCTCTCCTTCCGCGCTGCAGTTCCTGCTCCGAGCTCTACCTGTATTCAAGCAGTGAGCAGATGAAGGCATGCCCGCGCGGTCAGGCACAGGCAACTGCGTTGCCATCCCCCTGCCACAAGCCACCTCCTGTCTGGAGACCACCAGACTCTTGGAAGCACCCAGCTCAAGTCAGCAGGCCCTGCTGGGAGTGCCAGGCTGTCTGCATCTGACCACGGTGTAAAAGCATGTGTTTTGGCCACCGCATGGTGCACGCTATTCAATGGAGCAGTCCTGATTAACCAAGCTGCTAGCCTCATCAGGGTGATGTCACACAATCTGCACACCGTGTTCTCCATCCCAAGAAGTGGTGACAAGAACACAGTAAAGAAAGCTCTCAAATGTCCCTATTATTTTGAGCACTATTCCCTTAGGGCTTTGTAGACACCGGAGCTAATCTTTGGTTAGAAGATATTATGCAACTTGATCCATTTTTGTCCTTTGCAGCTCTAGCAATAGCCTGCTCATGAACAGGATTCTGGACAGTAAAAGCTCTGCCATTCGCTTTCATCAAAACTGAATAGCATTACCCAAATCAGCCAAATACACTGCCCATTCAGCTGGCCGTGCGGGGGTGGCAGAAGCTGCTAATAGCTCAGCCAGAACACTTGTGGGGGAGTTGACCTGAAAGGGATTTTTCATGCTATTCTAACGTTATTTACGGTAAAGCAATCCCCTACAGACAAGGCATTGTTCACCCTTGACAAACAGCTGAACGGTTCCCCAAACCACCAGCCTCGACAATGGGGCAGAGGCACGTGGCCGGGCCCAAGTGAGACCTCAGCCGCCCAGATGCCACCTCTCAGCAGCCAGTTGGCAGAGCCCGCAGATTCCTCCAAAACAGAGGGTGCCACTGTTAGTGCTGGGGTATCACACACACACAAAACTTAGCTCACCAGCGGGAGCCGTACTGAGCCCAGCCAGGATTAACTACCAACCTCCTACATTTGGTGGCCCGACCCAGGGGATGGAAGCAGGCCATCCAGTGCAGGAGGAGAGAAACCACCTGCAGACATGGTGTCTGGAGCTAACTTTTCCCACACAAACTCAGACGCAAAAAGAAGTATGCGCCTAACAGAGGGGTTACAGCACCTACAACTGGCCCAGCACATTGGGAGGCCACAGCATACCTGAACAATAAGAAGGAAAGCAAGAACTGCATAGATTATTGTTCCTCCTTCGTAGCTTTTCCAGACTAGTACACAACTTTATTTTATTTTTGTTTTACAGTTCCAGTAAAATACAACTCCATGAGCAGTCCTACCTGGATACCACCTTCAGCAGTAAAGCCAGACTAAGACACAAGCATGGGATTCACTGCTTTACCACCTCCCTAGACAAGTCCTCCATCATAAAAGTAAGTCTTGGAAGAGACTGTGGGTCAGTTGACCTAAGAGTGGGCAACCAGAGAACCAGGAGGCTTGAGACAGATGGGAACGTGGCACTCTATCTGAAATACATGCACCTTACCAGGCAAATGCTATAGCAACAACTTAAAGCATTAAAGCTCCTTGGCTCTGCCAATATAAAATTAGGAAACAGGCAAGTTTCCTATTAATAATGATGTAAGCATACACTGCAGAACAAGATTTTTAAAAAAGCAAGACTCCAGATGCTGGAAGGGCAACTTGATTTCTGGAGATCTCAAATACTCACTGAATAACACTGAGTCCAGAGACTCCTTGAGCAGACCATCCTGTCTGTTTGCGCGCTTACTTTTGAAGCCTTTGGAGCTTAGACATAAATCAAAAACAGACAGAAAGCTGTTACGAACTGATTACATAGTAACAGACTTTACTCAGCGTTTCAGAAATGTTAAGAAAGTCTGGGGAAGGCAGACTGAGGACAGAATTCAAGTGAAGCTGTTGAAGTTTTGATAGCTGCTTGTCACATAAGTGTATGTCACATATATTCTGCTGACCCTTCCCCTACACTCCCTAAGGATCCTTTAGGGTCTTCTTTTTCCCCTGTCACACCTGCCTCCCTAAAATCCATGTGAGCCACTTACACACAGCAAGATGGGAACAGCCATTTTCTGTGCCAAAACCTTGTTTCTAAGCCCTCACCTTGCCCTTTCCCTGCGGCC